CTCCACCGAAGGCGCCAGTGGCAGCGTTCGCATAGCGGCCCCGGGCCATTTCGGCGCACCCCTCACAAGGATCGTGGCCCCATAGGGAGCTCCACCGAAGGCGCCAGTGGCAGCGTTCGCATGGCGGCCCCGGGCCATTTCGGCACACCCCTCACGAGGATCGTGGCCCCAAGGGAGCTCCACCGAAGGCTCCAGTGGCAGCGTTCGCATGGCGGCCCCGGGCCATTTCGGCACACCCCTCACGACGATCGTGGCCCCATCGGGAGCTCCACCGAAGGCCCCAGTGGCAGCGTTCGCATGGCGGCACCGCCCCATTTCGGCACACCCCTCACGACGATCGTGGCCCCATAAGGGAGCTCCACCGAAGGCCCCAGTGGCAGCGTTCGCATGGCGGCACCGCCCCATTTCGGCACACCCCTCATAGGGAGCTCCATCGAAGGCCCCAGTGGCAGGTTTCGCATGGCGGCCTCGGGCCATTTCGGCACACCCCTCACGAGGATCGTGGCCCCATAGGGAGCTCCACCGAAGGCCCCCAGTGGCAGGGTTCGCATGGCGGCCTCGGGCCATTTCGGCGCACCCCTCACGAGGATCGTGGCCCCATAGGGAGCTCCACCGAAGGCGCCAATGGCAGTCTCCCTCATGGCTCTCAGAACCCTTTCCTGTTTCTGCTCTTCGGTCAGGGGGGCGCCGTCCTCGTGGTCGTCGGCGCCCGCGAAGACGGCCACAAACGTGTCCCTGAGCATGTCGGGCTCCGGCGGGAAGCCGTGGCCACATAGGGAGAGCGGGCGAAGATGGTATCCACAATTGCTGTATCCACAACTGCGTATGGTTGGGTCCTTCGCCAGGCTAATTTTTTGACGGATGGTGGGGGGCTGGCCCCCCATGGTGTCGGCATGGTTCTCGGTTGGACGCCAGCAGGGTGGGGGAGGGCGAGTATATGAAAAGGAACAGTGATCGACCCTTCCCCGAAAAGGAAAAAGGGGGGGGGAAGAAAAAACGCCCTAAACCACCTACGCCGAGAGGACAGGTGATATTGGCAGGTCAGCGCGTGGTGCTTCCAATGAAGTATCGACCAGGCGTATGGTGCCGGGGCCTCGATGTTTGGGGGGCCTACTGTGTCCCACCTTGCCCACCCCGTCCCGCACACAGGGACTCCGCACCCTCCCCTATGGTGGGAGAGTGGGTGTGCGGGCCGCCCCCCCCCTGACGCCGCACGTACTGCGCCAGGGGTGGTGGGGATTTCCATTGAAGGCACTGTGTTTCATGAAATCCCTTTCGCCCATCCCCCCCACCCACACCTGGTCGCCGTTGGAAGCCCTAAGGTGGCCTCTGGTGCGGTCGGGTGGCATCGCCCTACGGTGGCTGACGCACCCGTCCCGCTGCCGAGCCCGATGGTGGCTCTGGGAAACTGCGCCAAAATAGCGAGGCGGCCCACAGGCGGGGAATCACGCCGCAGCCGCCGCCACCTCGCGGCGTCACGCCCCCGTCGAACACCTCGCTCATATTCCCCCGAGGAAAACGATGGAAAACGTACCCTCCACTCCCCGTGAAGTGAAAGAGCGTGTTCTACCGCTGCTGGCGGAAAACGGGGGGGGGTCACTACCGGTTCGAACCCCTCCCCCCCCCCCCTCCGGAAAACCGAGGGGGGGTCACTACAGGTTCGAACTCCTCCCCCCCCCCCCCCCCCGTTCATCATGTAAAAAGAGGGGGGGGTCACGGCCGGTTCAGGGCGAGGCGGCCCCACCCTCCCTCGAAAACGGGGGGGTCACTACGGTTCGGAACCTACCCCCTCGAAAACGAGTTGGGGTGGCGACAGTGGTGGGGAGGTGTTGGTGGGGACAGTGGCGAGGGGACGGCGGGACAGTGGGGTGGGACCAGTGGTGACAGTGGGACAGTGGTGGGGGGACGGTAGTGGTGGCGACTGTGGGAAAATGAGGTGGAAACAGGGGACAGTGGAGGGACAATTGTGGGGGGTACAGTGGTGACAGGCGGGTGGCGAAGGCGGCGGGGGACAATGGGCAGACAAACTAATTACAATGATGGGGACAGTGGGGACAGTGGTGGGAACAGTGGGACAGCTCAGTGGGACAGCGGAGGAGTCAGTGGGACAGTGGGGACAGTGGGGATAGTCGGGCAGTGGTTGGGGCCGTGGAGACAGTGGGGAGAGTGGAACTGTGGTGGGAACAGTTCTGGGGACAGCGGGGACAGTGCGACAGTGGTGGGGCCACTGGTGGGGACAGTAGGGGCGGTGGTGGAACCAGGGGGGACAGCGGTGGTGAGGACAGTGGTGCTGGGGGGGGGGGGGTTGCTGGTAAAAACAGTGGGGGATGTGATGCGGACGGTGGTAGGGACCGGGAGTTTGTTTGCTGGCGGTGCGCTGGGGGGGGGGTCGAACCGGTAGTGACCCCCCTCCGGTTTTCGACGGGGGGGGGGGTTCGAACGGTAGTTCCAGTGACACCCCCGTTTTCAGAATTTCCGGAGGGGGGGGGGAGGGGTTCGAACGGATAGTGACCACCCCCGCTTTCGAGGGGGAGGGGGGGGGGGGGGAGGGGTTAGGGAGGGGAGGGGTTTGCCGGGGGAGGGCGGGGGGGGGAGGGGGGGGTGGTTCCAGAAGGGGGGGCGGGGGGGGTGGAGGGGGGGGGGTGAGGTGACCCCTGGGCTCCGGAGGAAAAGGCTAGCATTTTTCCACAGTAAAGCGGCGGTGGATCACGCTCTCTCATAACTACGAACTCACTGAAGTCCATGCTGGGCTCCAGTCGATCTGCCGGGGATGCAAGTCCCGTTCACGGTCCAAAAGGACGATGCCTTGAAGTCAGTGAGTGCATGCAGTAGATGAATTATGTCGCGCACGACGCAAAGTGTAAAGCGGGGAGGCGCGTGGTACCTCCCCTGAAGTGTCGGCCAGGCGTATGGTGCCTGGGCCTTGATGTTTGGGGGGCCTATTGTGTCCCAACTTACCTTCGGCACCGCCTGTTCCCGAGGCTTTGCCTCCTCGTGGCCTTGCCGTGAGGCCGCTCTCCTTCTGTCCCCCCCTCTTTGTGAATTCAAGCTTCGCGCGGCCCGCTTAGCTTCGACCAGAAGAGGTGCGCTCTCGACCCGCGAATCAAAAATATTGTGTCCCACCTTGCCCACCCCGTCCCGCACACAGGGACTTCGCACTCTCCCCTATGGTCGGAGAGTGGGTGTGCGGGCCGCCCCCCCAGTGCAAACCCAAGGCTCATCAACGATGTTGGCATCAACCCTCCCTCCGAGCTCCCTCTTCATAGGCGTCTGCAAGGGCTGATTTCCACTCAAGGAGGTGCCCCGTTGGGAGAGAAACGTTGGGAGATCCTGAAGCGTGCCGCAACACCGTTCTCGGAATTTCAGCGCCACGAATCAACTTGGCTGTTGTGGTTCAGCGATCCCGGATCGCCTCAGAGCTCCATTTCTGGGCCTTCCAACACCGCGAAGCCACGCAGTGGTTGCGCCCTGAGGGCCCCGAGTCGCTCCGGAGAGGGACCGATTGGGAGCCCCTGCAGCGCTTGCGGCTTCGTTTGGGGTCCACATGCGAACCCTACCCCTACCCCCCACGATTTCTGAGGGGGAGGGTGGGGTAGGGTTCGCATGTGGCCCTCTATTCGTGAGACGAGTGCGCGCGAAGCGCGGAGGCGAGGGCACCGTCCTGGAAACGGGCACCGCCACCTCAGGCCGTGCAGCGCCGGCAGCTCGACGGGTGCGCTCGGCGCCGCGGGCGCGCGAGGGCCCCTCGCGCTGACGAGCGGCCCGCCCGCGGTTTCCGCGGAGCACCCGCGGATCCTCCAGGCGTGCGTGCGCGGCACGCAGGCGAGAGCCCCCCCTGTCGAGAGAGGCGCCGCGCCTCCCTCCGTGGAGCCGTCTCGCGCATCCTCGGGGCGGGCGTGCGCGGCGCGGAGGCGAGAGCCCCCCCTGTTGAGAGAGGCGCCGCCCCCGATCTGTGGAACTTCTGCGGATCCTTACGAGGAGCGTGCGCGGCGCGGAGGCGATGGCCACACTTTGGAGACCGCCCGCCCTCCATCCGTGAAAGAATTGGCGAACTCGTAAGCTTCAGGATCATATGCGGTTAGTGAGTCTCAGGCGAAACGCCCGGCCCGCCTTTCTGGCTGGCTTCGGGGTGGAAGAGGAGGAGACGGAGGGGGACTTGATTGAAGGATTGGAAGATTGGAGGATTGGACGATTGGAGGCTTGGAGGAGGAGGACTGGAGGGATGCTGGAGGAAGGTTGAAGGAGGAGGAGGAGGAGAAGGAGGAGGAGGAGGACGGGGAGGAGGAGGAGGTGGAGGAGGAGGAGGAAGAGGACTGGATTGGAGGATTGAAAGATTGGAGGCTTGGAGGAGGAGGACTGGACGGAGGAGGAGGAGGAGGAGGAGGAGGAGGAGCGGAGGAGGAGGAGGAGGAGGATTGGAGGAGGATTGGAGGAGGATTGGAGGAGGAAAGGTCAAGGAGGAGGGGAAGCCGCAGGCAGTGATGCTGTGCGCCCGCTCAAGAAACTGGCGCAGTCGCGGCGGACGGCGGCGCCGGACGAGGCGTGATGTCGGGCGGGGCAAGGACGGCCACCTTGCGGGCCAGAGGGGGGGGGAGGAAGGGGCAGGAGGAGGAGGAGGAGGAGGAGGAGGAGGAGGAGGAGGAGGAGGAGGGGGGAGGAGAAAAAGGAGGGGGAGGAGGAGGGGGAGGAGGAGGAGGAGGAGGAGGAGAAGGAGGAGGAGGAGGAGTAGCCGTAGCCATTTTGGCTCAAGTTCGAACCCCGTGTCGCGGGGGCTCGAGCTTGCAGGTTTCCCGCCGCTGTGCGACAACCATCGAGGGGGCGCCCGACGCATTCTCGTGGGCCTTGCCCATCTTCACTTTCAGCGAGCTTCACTGTCTCGCCCAGTCCCGCGCCGCAGTTCGTTTGATGACCCGCGGAGGCGGGAAATACTCAGGAGGGGATGCTGGCGCCGCCTGCCCCACCTGTGGATGCAAGAAGAACCCGAGCCACTTCCGCTTCTGCTACCACTGTCGTGGCACTCTCCTTCGTCTTGGCGCTGCTGAGCCGCCTGCTCCTTCTGGTGCATGGGCGCGCGCACCTTGGCGTCGTGTCGGAGGGCATGCTTGGTCTGGCGGCTTGCAGGATGGTGGCAAAGGAGGGCGCCCCAGGGACTCATTGGTGGGCTCTCAAGGACGTGGAGGTGCCCATCAGTCGGGGGGGAAGCCCCTTGGTGCCTTGGAGGAGCTCCACCGTATGCAGCAACTTTGCTCAAGCAAGTTCAAGGACGCCTTGCCGCAAGAAGCTCGTTCAGCCATTGCAGCCGCTTGGGAGTCCGCTCAGCAGGCGAAGGAGAGCGAGTTGCCCCCGTCCCGTGTGCTGCAGCGAGTGGAACAAGATCAATATCGCCGCGAGAAGCGGATCGAGCGTCTCGAAGCGGACCTGGCCAAGGTGGTGGAGCGGATGCAGTCGCTGGCCAACCAACGTGCAGAGTTGGAGCAGTATATCGTGTCGGAGAGGAAAGCCATGGAGGAGGCCAAGGCCGCCGCCGCAGAACGTCTTCGACATGCTGACCAACCAGCTTCTGACCGTCCTGACTTGGGAGGACTCCGCCGCCAGCTGGAAGAATTCCAGCATGTGCTTGCAGGTGTACAAGCAGGAGAGCTTCGTGAGTCGCTCGGGGCCAAGTACCAGAACATCTTGGAGATGCTACCGCCCAAGCCTGTGCCTCAGCCTGCTGCGGCTCCCCCCGCCGCCACAGGGATGGTGGTGGATGAGGCCGATCTGGAGGAGGCTTGCATGGCTGCGGGCGTCGGCTCCGACGCCGTCAAGCGGGGCCTGCTGGAGGCGCTGCTGCAAGCCAGCAAGAAACCCCGTTTTCGCTCGCCAGGCCCAGGCGGGAGGGTCAATGCCGCCTTTCGTCACCCACAACCAGGTTGGGAAGGCGTTGGAGCAGAGGATGGTGGTGACTTCTAAGCAATATGCTTGGAATGATGAGGATGGCGACACTGTGCGTGCCACAGCGGCCAGTTCAAGGGCTTCCTCGGCGGCGTCACCAGCGAGCTCGTGGCCTTCGCGAACCCCACGGTGTGGTCCAGCATCTTTGTTTGGTTCATCGGAGTTGTCGTCTGCTTCCTTCACTAGGGGACCTTCCTCAGTGCCCTGTGGGTCTCCTAGGCCTTGGGAATCTACCTCAGCGAGGACAGGCGAGGTGGCAGGATTGCCACAACCCTCCTCCCCATCTTTTGCCCGCAGTGTCGAAAATAGTGTATCAGGACGCGGGGCGTTCAATCGCCCCTTGCAGGGACAAGCTCCAGCGCTCGTTCGGAAGCGTCGAGTTTGTGATTTGCTGCCGTTGAAGCCCCTGACGTTCAACGGATCCAGTTGGGTTGCCGAGCCCAGGGGGCGTGATGGTCTAGAACCCACTCCGAGGAAGGCCCCTAGTTTCAACGAGTTGGTCCGCGAGACGGATGCTGACATTTGTTTCTTGCAGGAACACCGTCTTGCAGGTGCCCTGTGCCAGCGCGCGCAGGCGCGACTGCAGAGAGCAGGTTGGCGCGTCTACGGCTGCGAGTGTATTCAGACGGGGGCTGGGAACGGATCAGGCGGGACTTTCATTATTGCGAGGAAGCATCTTGATACGTGGGCCCCCCCTACCTCTTCATCTACGCTTGTTGCTGGGCGAGTCTCGCGTGTGTTTTTTTTTCGCCGCAGTGCAGGTTGTGGTCTGATGGCCCTGTATTCTGTTTATTTGCGGGGCTCGGAAGGGATGAAGGAGGAGGGCGCCAGGGTGATGAATGCCATATGGAAGGATTGTTTTGAGCACAGCATTCCTTTCATTGTCGCAGGGGATTTCAATGTTGCTCCTCGTGCGATGGCATCAGTTGCTCCGCTGGCGCAGGTAGGGGCAATCATCAGGGCTCCATCTGTGCCTGCGCATGTTGTGCCAGGGTCGTCGTCGTACCTCGATTATTTTATTCTCAGCCGTGTGTTGGACCACACCTCGGCAGATCTAGAGACGGACCTCAGCGCCCCCTTCAGCCCGCATAGGCCAGTCACTGTGAAGCGCATGCAAGCATGCCAGGACATCACAGCTCGGGCCCCCGAGGCGTACCAGAAGGTCCCAGCTGAGACAGGTATTGGGCCCAGAGTGGCCCCGCCATGTTATTCGGACTTAGAAGGCAAATTACGGGATTTCTTGGAGCATCGGCTGGACGGGAACGGCATGGGCACTATGATCTGGGGTCATACTCGTGAGATGGGAGTTACCATTCTGGAGGAGGTCTTCTTGGAATGGCGTAAACGTGCGTGGCAAGAGCTCCTGCAGATCACACTTGTGTCGAATCCCAAGGGGCTTCTCGGAGGGTCTCAGTTGGAGTTCAAAGATGTCTCGGTTAGAACCCTCTTGGCCACCAAGCAGTACTCAAGTGCGTTCCCTGGCCGTGCCATTCATTGGGTGGCGTTGCGGTTCAAGGAGCTGCGAGCCCTGTTCCTCAGCCCAGAGCGCAGGGAGGACTACCGCCACGTCCTGTTGCGCCAGTGGGAAAGGCTACCGGTTCGAGGTGGCCCTTTCAGGCGCTACTGGAGGCAAGGCATTTCGTTATGGCATCCTTTTTTGGCGACCTGTGCTCAGCATTTACAGGCCGAGAGGTCGGCTGAGGAGCATGTCCATGTCATCGACGCCTGTCTGCCTTTTGTTACCGTCTTTCTTCGCATGGGGCAGTTGGAGGATAGGAGCAAGGCCAGAGCAGCATGGGAGGAATGGAGTAGAGCTGCAGTCAGCAATGGTGGAAGGCGAGCTTATTCTTTTCTCCGCTCGGGAGTGCCACTTCGCGAGGAAGTTGCGGAGGAGGGCGGTGCGTTTTCCAGTTCTCTGCCAGTTCGCCTCCGCGCAGAGACCAAGTTGTGGAGGCAAGCCTGGGCTGCTGCTGCCGATGCCAGTTCTGTTCGGCCTCCCCTCGAGCTCCCAGCAGTATCGGTGCCAGTCCCAGGCCCAGTCCCTCCAGAACAACTTCAGCACATCGGGTCGCGGTTTGCAAAGTTTACTTGTTGCCCAGATGGGTTTCATCCACGCCACTTTGGGATGTTGAGTCTGGAGTCTTTGGGAGTTGTGTCTTGGCTTTACCTATGGATGTGGTAGGTCAGGCCCCGTCTTCTATGCAACGGTTGGTTGTCTTTTTGATGGGCCGTCCCGACGAAGGCAGAAGGCCCATTGGCCACTACAATGCTTTCGAAAGGCTTCACGGAAAGACCCATCGGGATCCATGTCGTCGTTGGGAATGCGATGTGGGGCTAGGACCGCAGTTTTCCATGGGGCAGGGCCGTAGCTGCCTGGACATTGTTTGGCGTCGAAGTGTCCAAGCAGAACTAGCTTCAGGGACCAGAGTTCACTATGTGACGTTGCTTTGGGACCTCCTCCAGTTCTACGAGCGCATAGGACATCAGGAGTTGGTAAATCAAGGTTTTTCGTGCCACTTCCCCCTCCACGTTCTGATGTATACAATTTCCACCTATCGGTGGACCAGGTACATGTTACTAGATGGAGCGTACTCGGAGGGGATCACTCCCACCCAGGGGATCGTTGCGGGTAGCACCTCAGCCACCTACGAGGCCAAAGCTTTCATGTTACCTTCCGTTCAGAGGTCTACAGGTGTGCCCGACACAGGACTCGGGCTGCACATCGACGATCTCTCGTTTCACTCGTGGCACGAGAGCGAGCACGTCTGCGTGGCCAACCTCAAGGCGTTGGCCACGACCATGGCCTACTATATCTCCCCCACCCTCCGTGTCCCGCTTGCCGAGAGGAAAATGCCGGCGACGGGAAATTCGTTGAGGCTCGTGAAGGACATCCGCGAGGCTCTGGGTCAACTAAGTGGCACCAGGGCTTATGCCCCAGGAAATCTTGGCGTGGCGTTCTCGGCGGGCAAACACCAACACACACCTTTGGCTCGGGCTATTCGCAAGAAGAGGTTTCGGATTTTTCGGGCCCGTACGAAGCGTCTGGCGTTCTTGAAGGTGTCTTGGCGTATACGTGCCCGACTGTTCAAAAGTGGGTGCCTCAGTACTGTATCTTATGGGATGGAGGTGCAGGGGGTTGTGCCTACTGAGATTCTTCATATGAGGAGGGCCTCTGCCAGGGCCTCAGGTATTAGTAAGAAGGGCTGCAACTCGGACCTCATGTGGGCTGTGCACAAGCATCGTGGGGACCCCCTCTGCCTTGCCTCAGGACCTCTCAAAAGGTATGCGTGGGAATGGTGGCACTCCAGTGAGCCCTCTAGTTTTGCACGACCTCGACACAATGACGCCCTGACTCCAGGCCAACTAAGTTGAGTGTTTCATAGCGCCGTTGCCACCCTCCAGACCACCCAGCGGAAGCCGTGGTTGTATAGGACGCGTGGCCCGATCTCGGCCATGCTGTTGTGGTTGGGAGCTGGCGGTTGGTCTTGGGGGGGCCCAGCTACTTTTGTGTCCAGGTCTGGATTAATGTGGATCCTCACGGAAAGGCCACCTGCCCAAGTGGCTGACGCTCTCACCCGTGACCTCCAGGATGTGTATCTTAGGAGGTACCTTCTCAAGCACCTGCCGA